AGACTGAATCATGCAGTGAAAGAAAGCCTGTGTTGGTCTAACCAGACTTCAGCACGTCGCGTATGCGTGCCTCTGTAACGTTAGGTGTGTTTTGTTTGGTTTTTGCAATATACTCGATAATGTCATGATGTCTCACGAGTTCAGTATTTGCGCTAAACCTGCGCAGATTTGGCTTGCATGAACTTCCCCAAGAAATTAATGAGTGAACATAACTTACGAAAAGTAACCTGCCAAATTGGCTAGTGATTTGACTTCGTTACCCGCCACAGCTGATTTTTACCCACATTTGGTGGGTTGGCGGGTGTTAATTTCAAACCCTGATGCTAACCACATAATGATAGCATTGAATTTGCATGTCAGAGAGGCAAATATTTAAGAGGCAATAACCCCCTAAGACAAAAGTGTAATGATGGAGTGATGACTTTGCCTGAGTGTGTGTCACAGTGGGAATCAAACATCAATGAAGCATAGGCCTTTTTTTACTAAGCAAAAACAAATGGAGCATATCAAAATAAAATATTTTTCCCAATTCAGTTTCTCTAGTTTGGACTTCTCACAATTAAAACTAAAGAAATGCTATAAGCAACATTTTTAAAATGTGCATGTATGAAAACATCATGAACCCATTTAATACCAGCTAAGTGAGCGTATGTATTGTGATGAGTACAATGAAAAAAAAAAAAAGAAAAACTTTTTGAATTTGAAGATGAGGGTGAATTGTATTTTTTTTGTATTAATTATTAAGTATCTTCTGTAGCCTCTGAAGTACAGTACTAAATGCAAAATATAATATTTAAACAAAACAAGAAAAGGTTTCACATATTCATCCTGTTTTAATTCAGCTTTATTATAATTATTATTTATTTATTTATTTATTATTATTATTATTTTTTTTTTTCAAATAACAACTCTGCATGTAGGAAAGCCATGTCATTTGATCAAAAAACAAGGAGTAAATTACATAAAACCCTAGTATTCAGCTGCAGTGGCGGCTCGTCGGGGGAGGCAGGGGAGGCACAGCTTCCCCAAAATGTTTAGGGGAAAATGGGAGGAATACAATTTAATGTTAATAAAATTCACAATTCATTTCAGTTCATGTCTCAGAATGTGTCATTTTTGTTTGTAATTTCACAGCTGTAATACCATAAAATGTTAATGAAGTTGGAAAGCGCCGCTTTTCTATCGCGAATGTGCCGAATCTGCTGATGTAATTACTACCGCTAGGTGATAGAGAAGGGGAGGGGGAGGCTGGGGGAGAGCTGAGCTGATAATGTACCAAGTACTTATGATGAGTAGCGATATTGAATATTGATCGCCAACTGATTTACCAAGCTGTCTTTCAAACAGTATATATACAAATAAAAAAAAAAGGAAAACTTGCCTTAGCTGGATATAGGCTACAGCAGTCGGCTTAATTAAATGGCACAACAGGCAGCTCGCTTTCAACACAGACTTTTAAGAAGGGATGGATGTTTGCTTCAAGTGATAGGCCAGGTAAGTAAAATTATATTATCTTGCTGTATGTGTGCCGTTTTCTTCTTTACGTTTTCCGACTAAAAGCAACCAAAAAGCCATTTTAAAGTGGTCAAGCAATTAATAATAATAACCATAATAATAATCGGCAGGGATCCCAGACCATTACAATTAGTGTGCCTCCTCTATTTTAAAACCCACGAGCCGCCACTGTTCAGCTGTCCAATTGTGTAAAGTTGGTCATTCCACTCTGCGATCAAACATATAAAACACCTCATATATAAATCAATTTCATAATTTTGCCTTTAGATAGATTACATCAGTGGTTTTGCAAGTCTTTTGAATCAAACACACCTGATTCTGGTCATCAGCTCATTAATAGAGACTCCAAGACGTGAAATGTGTTTGTCAGTCAAAGGAGATATGCAAAATGTGCACTGCAGGGGGGGTTCATGGAACATGGTTGAAAACCACTGGAAGTTTTTGGGATGGTGATACAAAAACTTGTAGGGTAAAAAGTGTTTATTGTGATATACCTTTTATTTGTGTCTGAAAAAAAAAGTATATACATATATATATATATATATCCATCCAAGATGGCGCCGACGCTGATGGCTGCCTCCGTGGCGTGCTTCACTGTACAGGGCAGATGGCAGACAGCGTGTATGGCGTCGTGTGGGTGAGCGGTGTGCTGATGTCAACGTTGTGGATCGAGTGGCCCATGGTGGCGGTGGGGTTATGTTATGGACAACGAACACAGGTGCATTTTATTGATGGCATTTTGAATGCACACCTAACACCTAACTGACCTAACACAATACAACAAGATGAAGTTGTTAGCCAGGGGTGATTCTAGGATTTTAATTTTAGGGGGGCTCAGCCCCCAATGAGGGTATAATAATAAAATAAATAAATAGCCTATATAAATACAATAAAAATGTTTGACTAATAGGGTAGGGTGGTATACTAACCTTATTGCAGAATTCCACTGTATTGCATACATAGGTATAACACTTGAGTACTGAATAAGCCAAATACAAGTCTTCCTGATCTCACACAAACACAAAATTTTACTGTTTGCATTTCTAGTACAACCCTCTTTCTTTAGCTCAAGTATGCAAAATAAAAAAAAATAATTAAATCATCACAGAAAATTTTAATGGTTTCCACAACAAACAACTTTACAAATATTACAAACTATCAACTTGTAACCATTAAAACCATTAAACAATGGTTTTCTGTGGTGTGTTTTGGGACATATTCCATTAGGATTTATTGGATGTTTTATTCAGCAGGGGTTTTATTTATTTATTTTTTTTATATTCCCAAAATATATCATGAAATATCTCAATTCTCAAATATGTGTAAGTAAATGCATTTTGCACCTTATGCAGATTATGTTAGTTGATCTATAATGGGCGATGGACAAAGTAGCCTAATAGTGTAATCTATTAACTTTGTATAAAAATCCGTCTGTTTACTTAAGTACCAGATATGGGTGTCATACCATAAAATATTTTTAATACGACTGACTTTGTATGTAATGTGAATTTAATAAAAATATTGCAAGTTACTAATTAGCCTATAACACTTTCATTGAACAAAACGAGAGAAAATAACGTTTACATTATCAAAGAACATTTTCACTTCAGTCCAGTGAGTTGAAGCACTCTCAAAAACTCCCATAATAATCTCTAAAGCTCTTTACACTGTGAAATTAATATCTTACTTACATTCGTACATCTTCACTTTGTTGTTTCTGATGAGAGAATTAGCCAGAGAATTCAGTCAGCCAGCGAAACAGTCAGTGAGTGACGAAACAGCGTTTCAGCGGTGACTCATCTGAATGCCTCGGATTGGTTCTTGCATTCATAAACTCAACAGAATCGTATGGGATTGGTTATAATGCGCAGTGTTTTAAAAACTTGTGTGTCTCTGGCTCACAGCCAGCGAACGCAGATGTGAATTTAGCAGGTCTTTTCTTTCTTATATATATATATATATATATATTAGTTTACAGGACAAACTGCTCATTTCACCCAAAATTGTTTGGTGTGATATGATTCCAAATTTAGGAGGGCCAAGCTTGTTGAAACCGATTGCTCCCCCATTATATTTATACTGCAGAACTGCACAGATGCAGATATTAAAACAAGCCCATGCTATTAGCTAACAAGGCATTTAAAAGGTACTTTAGTTTAAAAACCTGTACTATTGAGTTAATACATATTAAAGACACAAACCAACACATTCTTACCTGTGGAAGTTTATCCAGTTTCTACAAGAATTTAAATGTAGGCATTTGTTTTATAACCAGATTCTGCACAATGTTGTTGCATCTTGAAACTCATTGATTTTAAAGTTGAGTGACGACATATAGACAGTTCCAAGATGGTGGATGCATCGTCGTGTCTGGAGCGTGGAATGTGGAATCTACCGATACATATCTATGGTGTGTAGTACAGTATGAATTTAATCCAGATATACTACGTTCACCATGCTGTCATTGGCATATGACCTACCAGCGTCAGTTGCGTCACTTCACAAGTCACAACACTCCCATGGTCTCATGAGATAGAAAAAGTGTCCATCTGAAATGCACTTCAGAATCTCACTGGAAGTAGCAAGTAATTTGGGTACTATATTTCACCTACTGTTTTATAAATGTGAATAAATCTGATAAACTGTGAATTTGGACATACTACTGTTTTCACACACTATTTTTCACCAACTATATACAGTAGTAGGGAAGTATGCGATTTTGGATGCAGCCAAACAGTATTCAACTGCATGGTATGTTGATGCCTTATTAATTTATTGCCCTGTTTTGGCAGTTATGTTAAACCCATTAAACTCATGATGGTCAAAGGTCAAAGCAATTATAGGCTTTGTTAGATGAAAATGAAAGAACATATTTATCTGAACTGTATATTGGCATGTTTAATCTGTAATCAGATTTTACAGTGTCCCATAGAGATATTTTTCCCTAGATTATTTTTTTTAGAATATGATTATACAGTCTTATATAAGATTCAACATTGAATAAATAATATTTCAGTTTTATTATTATTATTATTATTATTATTATTATTATTTAATTTTTTGTATGAATAGTGCTGAACATGAAACTGTTATATTTACTCAATAAACTGAGTTCCAGTGTGAAATAATTATTAACAAAAATTCTCAAGATAAAATGAGAGAGTTGATTATGGGTCTCTTTAAATTTGCATGGCACTATATCTTAATTGTTTCCTAATGTCTTTGTTCAAGAGCTCAACACTGCCATTTTACCTCCAGCAGAAGAGTAGATTGCTTTGCTGTATTTTGAATGTGATTTGTCAGATAAGATTGAAAAGTAAGAATGTGATTGGTTGATGACAGATTATGTACATGATAAGCTAACTGATAACCTAAATTCCTTGTTAACATGCATTTTTTTAAAGAAAACATATAAGTGAATATATACAATCTCAGTGAATATCTGTTTATTTTTATTTAGTAATAAAATATAAAAAGCCAACCAATAATATTCACAATACAAAACATTTTCAAAACAAATTAGACCAATTGAATTGAGGCAAATAGATCAAATATACACTGAAGCTAAAAAGGATGAAAATAACAATGATTGGAAATGATCATGAGAAGGCCTTCTCAGAAATAGCTATTTTCATTTCCCACCAGGACACAGCGGTTTTAATCCCATCCAAATTTTGCTAATCCATAATCCCACTTGCTCCTTCCTCATTTCTCCCATTCCCTCTGTAGACCTTGACCCACAATGCACAAGTCTGGATGCGAGACAGACCGAACTGCACCCCTGATTTCTGTTTGCTCACTCCATGGCTTGTCTTCACTGACTGGAACAACTTCCAGCCTGTGACAGCAAAACAAAATAAGAACATTAGTGAATTGAAGGATTAGGGAAGTGGGCCAGAGCTGGTTAGCACTGGTCAGCAGTAAGTCATTGAGAGCTTAGTGGCTGAGGATTAGCAATTATATTATGATGTACGTGAGAGAGGAAAGTGTGTCTAAATTGCAAAAAAACATATACATTTCATGTTTTCTCAAGTTCTGTGAAAATGCATTTATTCTATATCATACACTGTGCTTCTGTCATTCCTTTACTGTACAGGCATCACACAAACAAACTGAGCATTTTTTACTGTATGTCACATGACCATATTTACCAAAAGGCCATCATATACACCTCTTTTTTTCACACTCTTTACCTCTAACATGGGCCATCCCCACATTCCCTTTTAAGTCGTTATGTGGTACTTTCCCATCATTCTTTCATTGTTTGACTGGAACTAGTTAAAAAAAATCTAACTGAACAAGTTTTCCCACATACATGAAATCATTCCGACTTGAGTCTTGTCTTGCTCAACCTTTGTAAGCAGTTTCCAAGTGTTTCATGTGTTTGTTGTTGTTGTTTTTTTTGTTTTTTTGTTTTTTCTCAGAATTGTGAAGTATATGTATTATATAAAAACATAATTGTTAGGGATTGTAATTGTTAATATCGCTGAATATCCTACAAATATCCTACGCTCTGTGATGACAATATTCTTCAAGACTTGTCCACTGAACCTTCACTGAACATTTTTTCCCCTTGAACTAATGTTATAAACTATTTAAATACCCTTGTTTAATTAAACATTTAATTAAACACAAATTAATAAAGAAGACTAAGTAGCTGGCACACAGAGGTACAAATACTTTAAAATACGACAGACTACAGATAGATTTGTCCCTTGTTATTCACAGCTGAGTGACATTTACACAATGAACCCATAATTGAATTTCAAAAACTGCACTCTTTATTATGACAGAGACAATCAAAGTACTTGTCCTATAACATTTTCTATTCTCTTTGAAAATTAAATCTGGAACAGAAGAAGCAATTTCAAGCATGAATGGTACTTGCTTCAGATACCCTTATCAAAGTTGTTTAAAATAAAGATTAAGCAAGAAAATATTGGATACTGTATCACTATTAAGCATCACAACCCAAAGGAGTTGAGTTCATGGATCAGAAATTAAAAGCTAAAGTTTTTCACCTCAGTGACTGGTTCAATAGAACTGCTCACAGGACTGTTCTGCATAGTTGTCTATTTTTTTCTTTTTTTTTATCTTCTTCAGAACATTAACAGAGTTATGTTTCTGGGTCATTAAATCAGATATTAACCTAATTTTCCTGATGACTTGGATAAGCAGCCATGTGTATCTCAATATGATGCAGACTATAAATATACTAGATTAATTTGAAGCAGTTGTACTTTAGCCTTACATTTGATATCAAAACAGTGTTAGACTCACCCATGGGTGCTAATTGCTGGTTCACTCCCGCATGTCTCTGCCACAGAGATGACTGGCACCCTCGGCGGCAGGCTTAAACTGGGCCTCCTGTCTGACTGGCTGCGCCGGATGAATGGCTGGGGCCCTCGTGCAAACACTGGCAGCCGACCACGCTCACCCCAGGGACGAGGCAAAACACTGCTACCCGAGGAGGCCCATGCCTGAGGGGGCTTGGGTGTAGGAACAGGCTGAGCCTCAAATAACGATGATGAGACTGGACAAAACACTGATCGAGCATTACTAAATACTCTTGAAGAGTCCTCACTACTATTTTCTCTAGACCAGCGCTGCACTTTTGGGGAAGCAGGAGGTGTCGGTGCCTTAAAGGGGTAGGTGATCCCTGTCACCGTGATGGGGGTGTGGTCTTGCCATGTTGCAGGGGTGCTTGGCAGTGTTCGTTGGCCAGCAGAAGGTGGTGTTGGGAGTTTACGGACTACAGGAGGGTTAGAAGAAGTTGAAGAAGAAGGTTGACTTTTCAGTACCGGAGAACTAGGGAGTCTCCGATGTAACAGAGGTGTGGATGGCAACACTCGAGTTCTGGATGCAGTTGGAGTGGCAGGGGTTTGGTTCTTGCAGGCATTGATTGGCACTGATTCACTGGTACTGTTCTCCTTTTGTGAAACCTCTATGTCACTTTGGCAGAAGGAAAGCTGTCTGTGGCTCTGCTCTGCTGTAAATTTCTCTGTCGGTGAGTCAGAAGAATGCCTCAAGTGGATTATCTTTCTTGCTTGTTTGTAGAGGGAAGCAGCCTCCTCACTTTCCGTGTCTGTTTCATGGCTGGAATCATGGTGACCACCCCTCACAACTCCTCTGGTATTATGTTTTTTTGAACGAACTGGCGACATGCTAACAGAGCCTTTACACAAATTCCCCTTACTGGGCAGCACTGTAACAGACTGCAGAGTGGCTCGTAACCTTTGAGACATCTGAGTCCGTTTTGGCAGAGTGGATCGGCCCCTGCTTGTTTCATTTTCTTCCGCATCCTTTGCCTGTACATTTTCAAAGGAATTGTCCATGAGAACCTCAAGTGGAGGGGGTGGTAGATTGTCAATATCAAGATCCTCTGTCCTTTCAGAGCACCGTGACTCCCCTTGACTCCTGAGAATACTATTTTCATTGAATGCTAATGTGGCAGAGGGACCTAAACCTGGAATGATGGGAACACCACACTTTCTAACACCTTTAAGAGGTCCAAGAACTGTTGCACTGTCTGGGGTCTGTTTACTTTCCTCCAACCCCTGACTGAAGGTGTCAATCAGTTTTTTAACAGAATTCCTTTCCCTATACAACCCTGAAGATTGGTGGGGTGACGGTGGAGGGCTTGGCACAGATGTTACCTTAACAGGCCCTTTAACAGGAGGGGTTTTCTTGTCTTTTTCCTTTCCCTTTCCTTTGTCCTTTTTCTTTTTTTCCTCCATTTCTTCCTTCACACTTTCTTGTTCTACTTTTGCATGACATGCCTTTCTTTGATTACTTGGAGAAAAAATTATCCTATTCAAAGAACGCTGCCTGTCAGCAGCAACTGATGAAATTATTTGTGTTTGCGGTTGCTGGTTTTTTTTAGATGAACCTGGTTTTGTATTTCCTTCACACTTAAACTTTGTCATTCTCTCCAGTCTTTGGTTGAGTTCCTTTTGAGTTCTCTCAAGTTCAATGAGTGTAGGATCTTCTACTTTATTACGCAGAGAGTCTGCTGATATCGAACGTTTAGTAACTGTGGACTTTTTCTTAGATGTTCTAGAGGCAGCTGTTTGAGGTCTTTTAGAACTTTTGTCACCATCCTCAGTCCACTGACTACTGCTGTTTGGGTTATCTGCCTGTTTTGCTTTTTCTCCCAGTCCTTGGGATGGCGAAAAACGAATACGGCCACTAATGGCATCTTTTAGCTTTAATGTCATTTCAACATTTTGTGGATTCTCTATTCGCTTTGTTGGCAAACGACGTGGTTGCCTCTGGTCTGGAATAAAATAATCTGTTTGTTTGCTTCTTTTCTCCTTGATTTTTTCATCTTCACTACCATCCTCCACATCATCCCTGCCACCTTCATCCAAGGAGACAGAGCCAAGTACTGATTTAGTATCCCTCTGTTTTTCTGTAATCGTGCAAGTTGAGTCTATAGAGTTAAGAGAGCTGCTGTTGCTTATTGTTTTGAGAAGTCTGCCTCTGTATGAGCCTTGGTGAACTGGTGTAGAACCACAAGGGCTACTTGATGTAGCACAAATGGTTCCGGTTGACTCACAACTTTCTCTCCTTTGGCATTGTCTCTCTGAACCTGCTAGGGACTCGCTTTCTGCCCCAAGTCCACTGTCTTCACTAAATAGTGCAGAGTCTTCTGGGCCAGGTTTTTTCTGTGATGCAGCCTCAATCCGAGAAAGCAGCCATATTAATCTAGACTCTGATGCACGTTTTGTCCTGAGCTTCTCATCTAGAATTTCAGTAATGGAGGAAAAGTAATCGACCGACTCCTCAAGCGCGGTATCCCCAATTCCACACAATGATTGACCTACCTGACGCATCCTCTGTACGGTGTACTGAAGGAGTTGTTGTAGTAGGTCTGGTGGGGGCTCACTGCAGGTGGGAGAGGTCACATTTTTTGCTGAGTTGGATGAAGAGGAATTCTTGTTTTCACAAGGCCAAGCCAGATGGTCTCCATTTTCTTTTAACATCATCTCCCCCTCTTCCACTATTTCCTGCAGCCCTTTGTTTATTTCCTCATACCGTAAGACCATGAATGCCACCATGGGTTGCAAGGAAATTTGGGTTTGGGCTGCATGATCAAGTAACCCCAACAGATCTTCATATTTACTGATGCTGGGGTTAAGATATGCATACGCTGCTTGATGAGCTTTCACAAGTGCCTCTGGAAAGTCTACTTTTTCTTCATTAAAAAATGTTCTTTCCTTTTCTTTTTTCCTGTTTAGTTTGACACCTTTATGACCTTTCTTTGACTTCTTTGCTCCCTTTTTCTCATAAACCTCTCGTTTTTCTTCTTGTCGTTCCTTCCCTTGAGATAATATATCAATGTTAATCTCTTGTGTACCTAGTTTTGCAGAAGCAGCCCCTTCAGGCTCAGCTGTAGAGAATTTCGTCCCTAACGTCGTGGAACTTATGTTGTTCCGAACCGTTGAGTTGTCTCTCTCTGTGTCCTGTCCACAGGATTCTCCACTGCTCCCATCATCAGATTGTGATTCTCCAAGTCTTTCATGAGTCCCTGGAAGTAGAGTTCTCCCTCTTCTGAACACACCCTGTGCTGCATGGAGACCGTTCCCACGTGAAGGAGTGCAGCCCATTTTAGAGCAATTGCAGTTCACCAAGATTTTGCAAAAATACAGTCCAACAAAGATAAGGAGGCAGACCATTCCATCTGACGGCAGGATGGTTTAGAATCACCAGCTGCACTTGTCATTTTCAGATGACTCTAATTACCAGACAAGCAGTTGTATTTGACTGTCTCCATGTATCCTTGGAAATCACCTTATAAAGACTTTTAGTAAAAAACAAATGTGGAGTGCCAAAGGAGTCGCTTCTCTTTCAGTTAAAAAAATGAAGAGAGAGAGAAAAAAAATATTCCACCACTGATTAAAAGTGTTTGTATTTCTTTTGAAGAAAGCAATGGCAAGCATTTTGTCTAATGCTGTAGAGTCCCTCTGTACCTTCTGGAGGACGAGCAGCTGAAGAGATTAAGGATTTGAGAGTAGTCCTAAGCATGCACATATGTCACCTTAGAGCAAATAAAACACACAGTCTCAAGACTTTAAGCTCATTAAGGTAATCGCAGTTGTTTTCAGGTAGCTTTTTATAGCTCAAACCCAGTGTCCCATAGCAAAGTTGGTCTAAAATGAATTTCTGTTCAGTGAACTCTTGTAATTTATAAATATTCTGTTTGCTTTTGTGCATCTTGTTTCAACTTTTTGAAGAGAGAAATATATTTATTCCAGAAATATATTTTATTGTGGCACAATGTTTGTTGTTTTAAACAAGACATATTCAGTTCACATCTTAATAAATGCAGTGATAATAAAAACCTTGGCAGAGATCTGATGCTCTGGTTCTCCCCCCTTAACACTTGTGTATTAGCACCGTGACACAAGAACCCATATTCAGCCATAGCCGCTGACTGTCATTCTGAAATCAATGCTTAGAGAGGGGAATGCCTTCCCCTTCCTGGTCTTGCCTGATTGTAGGCGGCTGAAGATATGCAACGCAACACTGCATTAATGTAATTTCTAGATCTCACTATGATCTCCCCAAGCCATGTGTGTGGAAAAGAAAGACCATTGTCTATTATTGAAGAGTTTACCTTTATTCATGTCCAAATGCCACTCAGATAATATTGTAACAATACAAGACATATTGACATTCAACATATTACAAGGGTAACACATTATTTTAAGGACTGTTTATTAGTACTTACAAAGCACATATTAATGCCCTTTTCTGCATGACATTATATTAGATACCTCGATCTTACCCCATACCTAAACTTAACAACTATCTTATTAACTATTGATAAGCAGCAAATTATGAGTTTTTTTAGGCAAAAGTCATAGTTAATAGTTTATTAGAATTGGACCTTAAAATAAAGTGTGACCATTACAAGTTGCTTATAATTGAGCAATAAAACACTATCAAGAGTTCTGTTTTATGTTTTGAGTGTTATGTAATTCATAACGTGAATATGTGAATAGATTTTTCTTGCCAGTTTATTAATTAATATTTACAAAAATAATAATGTCAGCAGTAATCCACTAGACATGAGTTATTTTAAGGAAAAGTAGATTCTTCATGATATAACCCTTTTAACATTGTGTGTACTGTACACTTATCAAATGGATTTGCTCCTAGTTCTTTTTCGTAATGTCTGGTAAGGAAATTCTAAATAAATTGAACCCAAACCAGTATCTACTGAATTTATGGTATTTTGCGACCCCATTATAAAACCAGACTGCTGTGTTATCTCTGGGATAAAGTCGACTGAGTCAATGGTGATATTATTGGCTCTCGCAATATATGCCTCTCGAGTAAGCTGTTCTTTCTTCTTACAGAGAGCCATGTACCATTTAGGTGCAAAGTGACAGAAAATAAATCCATAACATGACACCAAGATGGCAGTTGCTTGAATTGAATAGCGCTCGTTGACCTTAGCAATGTATACAGGGGTGAAACAGACCCACACAAAAAGGTAAATTAGCATGCTTAGGATAATGTGTCCAGTCTCATTGAAAGCCTGAGGTACCTTTCTCCCTTTGAAGGCCATCAAAAAGCAGATAAATGTTAGCAATGCAATATAGCAAAGCATGATGGCAAATCCAATGCCAGAACCTTCATTGCACTGTACAGTAATCATCATGCTTTGGTCAGATTGAAATATCTCCACAGCTAGAGAATCAAATATCAACCAGAAGATGCAGATGAGGACTTGAATGAGAGTACCACAGGTTATGATGACAGGGGGCTTGTAAAATCTTTTAACACGATCCTGGCGATACAGTACAAGAAAGCATACAAAGGTGCGTAGAGCTTTAACCAAAATACACGAGACTGTGAATGAGAACCCTAAGGCATACAAGATCTGTCGGCCCCTGCAAATGTGAACATTGGGTTTGCCAATGAACAATATGACGCTAGTATAGCTGAGTGCTAACCCTGCCATGATTAGAATACATAGGTTTCCACCTGCCTGTTTCATGACTGGTTTTCCATAAAAGACCAAAAAGATGATCAGGGTGAAGAACAACAATAGATAACCTAATACAGTAAATGTAAGTAGAACTATAGCATGGGACCCATCCCATTTCCAGTAGTCCTCTTCTTTTGGCTTACAGGAAGGCCATCCTTTCAAAGACCAGGTACCATTTTCACAAGGGAGGCAATTGGGTAAATCTAAAAGAAAGACAAAGTTGATTTTATTGTATATTTCAATCAAGAAAGTCATAATAGGTATTTTTCCCTTTTAAATTGGTTTTGAAATAATTTATAAACTGGGCTCTGAATTGACATCTGTGGTTGAAACATAAGACAAAAAAAAAATTATAATAATTTCAATACATTTTTACAGCAGCACCCACTAACTAAAATTCTAATTTCTAGTGAAAAATTAAACAAGAAGTCATTCATAGAAACTCTACCTTTTAACAATACCACGTTTACAATTGATTACTTACTTGTTCCATTAGAATAAGTACCCTCTAAACATTGTGTGCAATTATGGCAGCATGATGTTTTTAATTTTATTTCATATTATTATTTTTTTATTATTTTTGTGTGTGTGTGTGTGTGTGTGTGTGAACAACATATGCATCTTTCTTAAGATGTCACATGATTCTATATAAAACTGATGCATTTTATAATTACTTAATTAATCTAGACTCACCGTATTGCTTGGATTACTCCATGTTATGGGTGCCTTAATGTGAACTTCTTTTGTCGTCAGATTGTAATTTCCAACAATAACAAAGCTTCTCTGGACACTTGTTTCTTATGTTTGCCAGTTTATTAAGTCATATCCATTCATGAAATTGCCAGATGCATTAAAATAGAACGTTTAATTGTCCAAAGTAAAATTGATCTTTTTCAGTTCTTTGAGGACCTTTCCAAAAGAAAAGGAGATTTAAAATAAGTTCCAACTTTTGCAATAATGTATATAGAAATTATATCAAGAGCACTTGCTTCCTTTGCATGTTAGTATAATAGCATCTCCAAAATTGGATGTAAACCTTTTACTTACCTTCCATGGCGGAAAGTCCCGTTCTCCAGGGCAATCAGTTTCATTGCAGCTGAGAAGAAGTTCCAAAGCATGAGCAATGGACCATACAGCAACTTTAGCTTTGGATAAACTGATTATTTCTGCCACCTCTTGGATCCTTTTGTCGATTTCATTGTGAGCTAGGTAATGAGGGAATGCTTCTTTAAAAGCATGACAGATATCTGCACCTTCTGATTCAGCTAAGAAGCTTTGTAAGGCATTTTTCCCATAATCATCATCCCCGTAGACTACCCCAACCCAGTTCCAGTCAAAGTGTTTCATGAAATTAGCCAGAGCTTTGGTTTGGTGAACATCACTAGGAATGGTGCGCAGGAATGCTGGGTATCGTACCTTATCACTAAGCGTTTGTGCAGATGATGTTGTGCTTATCTGTTTTAAGAGAAAAGGACAATGAATATTAATTGTTGATGTTTTTTGCCAATATCGCTACAAAATTGAGATTCATCAAGAATTGTTTTTGACTCCCTGAATCAAACTTTAATCAAATTACCTAAAGATTAACTCTAAATGATCATAATAATGTTACTCACCTGTGGGACCATGTATAGACTCAGAAGCCGAGCCACTGCCAGAGAGTCTTCTGAGAAACGTGCTCCAATGATTGCTTTTACATTAGGCCTTTCAAGCACCTCACATTGGACAGGCAGTGTGCCATTCACAGCGAGAAGCTGCTCGGTGCTCTGAATGGCCTTTGATGCATCAGAGCAAGTATCACAGATGTAGTAGCCCAGTCGCACACCCGGGAGGAAGCTGGAGTTATTGATCGTTTCAATAGTATGCACAACAGCTAGAGTCCTTACAAGCGAAAGGAGATTTAATCTATACGGAAATGAGGGAAATCTTTATTAGAAATAAAAACAATAGCATATTCAACTTTCTAATCTAAGAAATAGATTCTTACTATTTTTCTGTACACAAAATTTACCTTTGAGACAGTTTTATACAGTTTCTAACAATCAGTGTACATTTGAATGCACAATTAATAGGGCTTGATATTGACACTGATTTGATTCTAATTCAGTAGTTCTCAGTTAAACTGATATAAATTCACTTATTCTAGTTGTTCTATTAAATAAAACATATTCTAGTTACGTCAACAGGCCTGTTTGCCACTATGAATAGCATGCATTGTGACAATAAGAAATTTATGGTTCACTTTATTTTCACTTTTGTAAACGTCATGATGATGATAATAATAATAATATTAATATAAAATATTAATAATAATAAGATAATAAATAAGAAAATAATCTAATTAATTAATTGTCATTTGTTGTCAAAATGTATTGTGTCCTTCATCCAAATTTAATAATAATTCATAAATAAATATTAATTATTCATTATATCTTATCATATTATTTATATCATAGTATTATTATTATGTACATAAATCAAGTGGCATTTGGTCTACCTGCATTTGGTGTACTGTAAAGTATTATTAACACCTTTCAAAAATACATTTTCAGGAAAGGTACTTGTTGGGTTAAAGATATTTAGTTATTCCATTCCAACAAATAAAATGTGCATTTAAATGATGGAAAATCAACACTCCGAGTCTTCAAGGTTGCATGGTAACACACGAAAGGCACAAATTACTGTACATATATGACAGAAAAAAAAAACAGATACTCACTCTGTGCAGTTGTATTTTTCTGGACGTTCTCGCACATGTAGTGTCTGCACTTTGGAATGGCAGGAATTGAGCACCCCTATCCGTATATCCCCGTCTGCCCAGGCCCCACATCTGCCTGGCGAGTATTCACAAGCAGACCCAGAACCGGCCAAAATAAGGATGCCTATTAAAAGCCTGTAAAAGGCTTGTAGAAACATGACAGACAATCTGACTGAGCACAACTGACTCCAGAGATATGTTCACCTTGACAATAAGGGTAAAATGCATAAGTAATCTGACAGTCGTTCTGGTTTAAGTAAGAGAAGCATGCAAGGGGGCTGGCTCATTCTGAACGAAAACACAAAAAGATGTCAAACGATTACTTCCCTGGATCGACTCCAAATGTCAGACGAGCATACCTTTATTCTTCATCCTTCCCCCACAGACCGGTTCTGTGTAATTCTAATAACTCACATTACATTCCACTGAGAGCTGAAATGTGAACCAGTTATAATTCTCTCTGCAGAAGTGTGGAAATTCCACATGCATATTTATGTTTATTGAGAATGTGGGTGCATGTATGTGGGTGACCGTGATTTGACCAAGTACAACATGTTCCTGGATCAACATTCTTGTTGATCCTGGAACAACATTCCAATTAACCAATCAGAATTGAGGGATAACTTTTCAGTGAAATATCTGTTTTAGGCTTACGATCAGGGTTAGGTGCTTCTACACCCTTGTTAATCAGCTATCATTTCACACTGATTTTAGGAATAAATTATGGGTAGGGTTAGGTTTAGGGGTAGGGATTGGGTTTAGTCTATATTTTTGGACAGTAATGTTGATCCAGGATCAACAAAAGATGTTGATCCAGGAACATGTCTTACTTGGCAAAATCACGCCGACCTATGTTTCAGGGTTAGTTTACTTCAGAGCTATCAGCGCATGCGTGACCTTATAATATTATATATTATGACAATATAGTTATCAAATATACAATATATATATATAACAGAAGTTGTATGATATGTTAATTATAAAACACTATAAGTAGGCCTACTATATAAAGTAATATTATATTATTCTAATATGTTATTATATTTATTGTCATATATAATAGTTATCGATATTAATTATAAAATACGATTATAACAAGGTAATGTTTATTTTATTCTAATATATTTGTTATTTTTTATTGTCATCTCACACATCGTGGATCTTTATTTTCTATAATGTATTTATATTATAAAAAATTAATATGTGATATTTCTTATATAATTAGCATCAAACAAACAATATAATTCTTATTCTCAGTGATTAAAAGATTAAACTTTTTTTTTTTTTTTAATGATTGCACAACCATCAATTAGGTGGCGATATGCAGTAAGTATGTAAATGACCACTGAACAAAAGAAGAAGAAAGAAGCAGCATGGCACACTTTTTCTTAGCGTCAGTTTCCATGGTGACTCGTCAATTCGTCGCTCTGTTGAGAATGTCTTGTGTGTTAACCGTGAACAACATACTCTGAGTTGACTGAACTTACTCCCGGACACGTTTTTGGATCCAGCATACCTCAAGTAAGCAAGGTTTGGGTTAATCAACCGAGAGTTCAGGGTATCCACCTTTTTCTTCCCGTAAAAATGGGCAGAAATTTTGTAAATTCTATGGGTTTGGCTTCCGGTCTCATCCACGTCCAGTTATTTTTAGCTGTACAGAACCGCTCGTTTTGCTGCTTGATATTGAAAACTGGTGTGTCTTACCATATTATTTGAATGTGTTGTCTTAATTACGAACACACTGGTTTATAATGCAAACAGTTTTACCGTTTACTGCACATTGTTATTCTTCTCGTTATTTCCCTACAGCGGCTAATGAACCGGAAGTCTTGCTCATAGGTTTACTTCCAAGTTGAAGAAAAAGGTGGATATGTGACGGTAAGTTAACCTTGCTTTCTGGAATACACCCCAGTAGCTATAGCAACTAATGAGAAGCGGGAACATGGGGAACAAAGGAAACTAGGTCAAACTAAACACAGGAATACAAGGAATCAAGTAAATTAAATATAAAATGTTTAAATATTTAATACAAATTAAACATTTGCCATTTTTTGATAGTTCCATAAATAATTTGTAAATTTCCGTCAATTGAACTGTAGTTGTCTATTATTAATTGGTCTGATGTGAATAATTGATGTAACTGATGTAACAATTCATGGCAGTCTGTAGTCAAAGGCTCAAAATACTTCATGTATTTTGTACTTCAATACTTCATGTATTAAGCAGTAATGTAATCAATTTAAGTAGAATGCAAGTAAAACTACAATATACTAAGTTTATTGCAAAACAACATATTACAAATCATGCTAGTGAGAACAGACTGAGTTCATTACCTCATAAAAGGGCCTTCTTTTATTTTCGTTTATTTTAATAAAAAAAATGTATCTTTATCTTCAAATTCTAATTTGTTTAGAATTTTGTATAAACATTTAGCTGGTTGATTTATCTGGCCAGGCAGGTTGGGCTTTTGTGTTGAGCTGGCTTCAGGATCGCAGTTAGTGTAATACAATACCGGCATGTTTTTTATTTTTTTTTTATTTTTTTTTATAAAAACATTTATACCATCACAGATAGTAATGAAAGTTAAAAAGGAAAAAAAAATAATAATAATTTTAATGATGATTTATAAAAGACAATTTGATTTTACCACTGGATTCTGTTTGAAGTATTACAGTGCTTACATCATGGATATTTTTTAATGGTTTCACTAAATAGATGTTGTCAAAGTAGAACTGTCTCCCAAGTACTCTTCCTGCAAAACTGGAAAGCAGCTTGGGCATTTATTAATTCAAATGTGTGCATATTCATGTAGTCTCTTAGGTTCAAATATTTACTTACTCTGCACAGAAGAGATTGAACTGGTGCAACTGGTAAATTAAGTCGGGAGTTTTCAATCTTGCTTTAAACTATGAAGTTATGCATTAAGTGTGCGGTTTCATGGTTCAGAGGTTTTTAACAAAAACAAGTTTGTAAATCTGTCTTGCCATCTTTCAGGGAAATACTGAATAGTACATTTGAAATGCATCAAATATCACTTTCTGATCAAGAGAATATGTGACTTCTTTAGACGTTTTCTCAACACATGCATTATTTCAAGTCCCAACAGGAAGTTCCCATGTGTTTCTGGCTGTGTCTCTCTGGAGTACACTGATCAGCTGCACTATACTAAGTGGAGCATGTTTTCTTTCTCTTTTCTTTTTCATTTGCAGTGCTCCAATATAACAGTTTGAATGATTTTCATGTAATGGCCAATAAGCATAATAATAGTTTTCCTGGGTGTGCCGGCACAAACTGCTGTACACTCACATGAATGTACACAGGAATGCAAATGAAGATTTTGGATTAATAATAAATTAGTTCATTTTCGGTTTGTTTCTCACCAAACCCTACCATATGCCTTCAGAACACTTGGAATTTGGAATGAGTTAGGGTTATTTTATTATATATATAAGAAGGGCATATTCACTGTCATTAAACTGACAGGGGCAACCATGATTATTGATTGATTGATTGATTGATTGATTGAAAAAGTATTATACAATATGGCTAAAAGAATTATGAAGTAATATGGCTTTAGATCAACAGTTCCATTGTGAGGTGGTGATGCTGCATATCAGGATACTCTCAATGGAACACTTATAAAACCTAAGAAGAATGAAAGGTCTTCAAATCTTGAATTTGACAGAGTGGGGGTCCTTTGAGTGAAAAAGGGTTGAGAACCACTGGCCTGCAGGGATGAATTGGAACACCTGAGGCCAATAACCACTCTCTCTATGTGAAAAAGATGGTTATTGACTTTAGAAGATCTCGGCCCATCCAAACCCCCCTTGAACATTGATCGCTCAGCAGTGGAATCAGTGTACAGTTTCATGATTCTTACTGTGCACATCACCTCAGACCACTCCGGGACCCCTCACCTCAAGCTTTCTTAAAAAAAAAAAAAACACACTGGAATTCCAAATGTGAATGCGTAAAAACATGGATTTTATATATTTTTTTCCCCCTCTTTCCCCCCTCTCCATTAAATTGTTCTATGAGAATATATATTAAATTAGTAAATTAAATCAGTGAATGAAATGACCTCAGAATCTTGACATTAGTGCATAAAGTGAATTTAAGGAAATGTGTCTCATGAACTGGCTAATATTTGTACTTTCTGTAGCAAAATGAGTAAAGTAAGTAAGTAAGAAAGTAAACAAACAAATAAATAAAACTATTTTATAAATATTTTAGCATATTCAGTTCCTTATGTTCAATCAACCCTTTAGTATATACTGTAAAACACTGCATCTCTATTTCTTATTATCTATCTTATTTTTGCTTTTATAATTTATCTTAAATATATCTATAACAGTCTGAGTAATTATTGGGAAGGGGTTGAAATAAAATTCACACTAAATAGGGCTCGACAATAAGGACTGCCTGATGGCCCATGGTATGAAGGTAAAATAAGGCCTAAAAGATTTGCAAACGCAGGGTAAGAGTTGTGGAAGTGTTCATAAGACTGTAAGCATAAATTACATTTGCATGTGCAAGAGAAGCTTTGTAAAGGTGTAAATCGCGTTTCAAGCGTATGAAAAAATTATTTGCAGCATTTTACTGTTACTCGTAAGTGTAATCAGTGGCGGCTCGTCAGGGGAGGCTCAGCTTCCCCAAAATTTTGAGGTGAAAATGGCAGGAGGACGATTTAATATTAAAGGGGTCATATGATGCTTTTTTAAAGATAATTATTTAAAGTAAATTGCAGAGAGCTGGACCTAATAGAACCTGAATTACAGAATTTCAAAAAAATTATTTGCTTTAAAACTCCAAAAGTGCCTATATACGCCAGATTGTCATAGCAAAGTCAGAATTACCTCCTCTCCTAGGTTCACGAAACGGTCGTCCATAAAATGCATTGCTGTTCTGTTGTAAGTAATCTTAAAGATTCCTAAATGTATGATGTTAAATGAAGATTAATGTTTTGGCGTGTGATGTGTTTATTGAACCAATCGGATAAAAGTAAATGGAAAGTCACCGAGAGCCTCATTTGATTGGCTACAAGAAGGTGGTGGACCCGCCCTCCCCCTCACGCTTGCAAAACTCAGTGAGTGAACTCAGATAATCGTGCCAAAATTGCAAGTGCAGAGAAAAGA